TATGAGATAACCAGCCAAAACGTCAAAGATGGAGGAAGATACACATTCGAAGATGCCCAGGTTTGCTTATCTAATCAGACAGTCCTGTTACAAGCTCCTCATTTGTCCATCACACCACCTCACCCTTTAATCTGAGTCCAAGGCCTTGCATGTAGTGAGTCTTTCAGGTTTGATTATTTATAAGGCCATTAGCGGAAAACATTCCACAGGAGCACACATTGAAATTCTAGGAGGAATTAGTGGCGTTATTACATAGGAATAAAACTTTATAGTTATATGTGTTATCATTTCCAGGAAAAATCTCAGAGGAGTTTTATAAAATCTCAACTCCAGTAAGTAGTCTGTCATAACAATAGTGCAGGGGGTAGAGGTCACACAGGGCCGGGAGCCCAGGCCATGTCCAACTGTGATACCCTCGCTCCACACACCACCAGAGGGATCCCCAGCATGCTTTGCTCTTTGGGGAGCACCTCTGCATTCCAGGGCCTCTACTACTGGATGAGACGTTACAAAGGACAAACAAAAGTGTTAAGGGGGTCACAGCCTAGTGGGGAGAAATACAAGGCAGCCGCAATTTGAAGAGAGCGGTGCCTCCTGGCGTGAGCTCTCGGAGGGAAGAAGGCCCTCGTCACAGGAGGCCTCCTCTCTCTGTGTGGCATGGTGACAGCCAGCCCAGATGTTGGGAGTCTGGCAAAAGAAGCAAGCCACAGAAGCCACCCGAACAGAAAGCCTTATCTGAGAACTGGGAGCCTCCATTTCTAAAGATAAGCATCAGATCCGTTTCTTACTTCCTGGCCCTTAACTTTTATTTCCTCCTGTCATCCTGCTTCCTATCTCTGGGCTTAAGGTTTTGTTCTTATCTCTTCAACTGACTTCATTTCTTACACCTGTGGGGTCCCCTGTTGAAAACTGGGCAGTTCGCCTTCCTGTAGACATTCTTATCACACTTGGGAAACTCAGAGGCTCCCAGGCAAAGGATTTTCTCGTGTCCCTCTGCATTTCAATTTGCTTTGTCATTTGCTCAGACTTCAGAATGGAAACACCCACCATCCTCAACAGTGTAACTGTCTCTTCTCTTCTGGGTTGTCTCTCCACTGAATGCCTATGCTAAGTGGATTTGGTTTGTAGAGTTCAGTGTCTTCACATTATGAAATCATGAGTCCCTCATACCCTTTGCAGCAGCAAAGTGAAATATTTGAGTCCTGATACATCTCTTTTTTTAATGGATAGATTTCTGTCTGTGCATATGTATATGCTCCAAAGCCAATATTGAGGAGGGTGATAGAAAAACTACATGTGTGAGGAGAAGCACCATAAGTGATTGATAGAGAAGTCCAGGGGCAATGAAGAAGCTCCCTAGGTGAATTATCTGAAGTGCAAATTTCAAGCATTCATAAGGATACTGCTCAGAACTGTGATGCAGCAACCCAGAACCATCACACCGTACATGAGATAAGGAAGGGTTTATTTTAATCTTGTATTCTGGAAATGTGTAGACAAATCTTTCAGGACTGTAGACCAACCTCAGCAATCATCATTATGAGACTGACTTTATCGTCTATGTCCACACCCACTTTTCCAACTATCCCTGGGTTATTTTAAAGCAAACTCAAGACATTCTATCACTTCACCTGTAAATGCTTAGGTGCATATTCTTGTTTGAAACTGACCACAATACCATTCTCATACTACAATAAATTATCAATATACCTCCCATAAGACTTCAAATTTACAGTAGTTCCATAAATGCCTATTTATAGTAGTTCCATAAATGCCTATTTTTAAGCTAATTTAAAATCAGAATCCAAATAATAGCCATGTAGTCCGGCAGATTGATGTGCCTTTAAGTATCTTTTAATATGGAGGTTCCTTTTGCAGTGTTTTAATGAAAAAAATATATCCTTTACCCTATAGAGATTCTTACAGTGGATTGTTTTCTGATTGCAGACCTGTGGTTCTATTTAATGTGTTCTTCTACCATCTGTATTTACTATAAATTATAGTCCAGTTTAGACATGTAATCAAATTTATAGGGCTTGGGAGCAAAACCATTTTATTGATCGCATTGTGAACTTTTATCAGAAGGCATGTAATGTCTGATTATCTCTTGATGATCTTAGCCGTCATTGATGTTCATCATTTAGATTCATTTTTAGCAATTAAGTGTTAGTAATAATGTTCTGATTCGATCATTTTTTATTTATTAGCTGAAATATAAATAATGAAGTATATCTACTCTTTTATCTAGTATTACAACTAAGATAGGAAAGATTCAATTGTTAATTCATTCCCTTTTTCTTTTTCTTGGCCAGTTTTCAAATAATGTGTGGCTTACTATTATCACCCAAAAGTGCACAATTAAGATATTTAATTTTTTTATTATGTTTGCAAATTCATGGGTTAAAACATATTTGGTGTTTCTTAATTCATTTTGTTTCTATTTATTGATGCTTAGATTGTAGCATCTCTAGCCAGCTTCTTCTGACATGACCCTTGTAGCTTTTGGTGTCATCCAAATATCAAGGAAGCTAAAATATTCTAGGCTCTTCTGCAGACCTAGAGTCAGTCATGTCTCTGAGGGCCCCTTGTTCCCTTAGTGGGAAACCCTTGTTCTCTTAGTGGGAAATGGTTTATAGAGACCATAATCTAAAAACTTTAGGGTGCTCATTGTTTCTCACTCCTAGATCTTTACAGTGGGAAATAAATATGTCATGAGCTGATGCTGATTCTTTTTCAAATTCAAAACTACAGGGATGAGTTATTTATAAAATAAGTATCTGAGCCTACGTTCTCTATGATGAGAATCTCAGAGCATCATGGATAACAGCATTGGTTGTTCACACCGTTCTCACTGACTTTATTCTGCATTGCTACAGAGTAGCCACAGTGCCAGCAGCAGCAGCAGCAATATGATTACCGTCAGGTGCTTCACAGTTGCGTAGTATTCCTTTGTGTGTGGACATGCCACAGTTTAGTTAACAGTCCTCTGTTCTTGACATTTATATTGTTTCTAAATCAAGAAATATTTGATGGGAAAACTTAAGAAGGCAGCACATTGTGCCTTAGCAAATTGTGAATGCACAGCTCCCATTATTACCATGCCCTAAACGTCTCAGGGACTTCCAAACACACATATCACATTCTTGATATTGACTGCACAAGAGGCTGCCCTGCACTTCTCTAATTCCTCACTACCTGTTGACCTCCTATGAATTCAAATAAAACCCTCTTCCTAAATCACTTTTTGCCGATAGCCCTTTTGTTTTGGCACGTTTTCATCATAAATACACGGAATGCTTCTCACTAGCCATAAGTTCCCCAAGTCATCCTTTTGTCATCTGTAGAATTCAAATAATTGCATTTAACTTCAGAGCCCAGAGATAACCCCTATTTTGGTGTATTTTCTTCCTCAATTTATGTGTACTGGGTTACTTTGTAGCCTGCTTCTTGCACAAAAGGAGGGGTTTGTTTAACACTAATCTTTTTCTGCAAAAGGAAAGATAGTATAAATTTTAAGCTTTGGTGGCCTGTCACAACTACTCAGTTCTGTCCTATAAAAGTAACCATATTGTAAGAATGTGACATTTTAAAAAAACAGAAAGGAATGGGTGTGGTTTTGTACCAAAGTATTATGGATACTCAAAGTTCCATTTCATGTAACTAATCATAAAATCCTACTCTCCTTTCGATTTTTTTCAACCATTTTAAAATGTAGGAGGAGGGGTTGAGGGTAACGTACTAGAACATTGGCTCTGAGCTTTGGTGGGGAGTCAGTGAAACTCGGCACATGTGGAGGAATAAAGCTGTACTCCCCAAATTACATAGTTATGTGGTTGAATGACAAAATGATTTTATTTAAAAAATAAAATAAAAATGTGAAAGCCATTCATCAGTTCACAAACAAACAGAAAGAGAGAGCAGGTAGTAGTGGAGTCATAAGCCATATCTGAAACCCCTGAGCCGAAGAAAACCATTGAAATGCTTTAAGAAATCCACAAAGGCAGACAATAGAATATTGAGCATATACGCTCAGCATAGTCTGTGTGGAGAGTAGGTTAAAGGATACATCACGTTGGGGCAGGAACAGTAGTGCCCCAGTCTGAGAACAATGGGGCAAGGGGACTGAGTGGACCCTGGGGAGTCGGCCAGCCCCGGTGCTCAGCCTGACTTCCCTGCCCGCCCAGCACTCAACCTGCTCCCTGGTGCCAACCACGAGGCTGCTGCCAGGTCATACTCTCCCTGATTATTAGTGCTGAGGGCTTGGTGGTCACACTGAAACCTGGAGACCGGCGGGTCACTAGAGAAGGCCTTTGAACCAGGGAACAGTCTTCAATCCTGTGTCTCCAAACAGTTTACCTGGGATTGTACAGTGATGTGCTTTAATCTGCTGCCCTTCATTTGTCCAGCTGCTATGTGGGAACTGTGACACCTGAGACCTTTGAAACACACACACACACATACACACCATTGTGCTGACCAGCTCCTGGTGGCTTCCTCAGCTAGACATGAGGGTTCTTGGAGTTCCTGGTGAGGAGCTGAATGCTAGTGTCAGTGACCTGGTGCCCTTATATTAGGGGTCAGTAACTAGAGCGAAGGCTCAGCCAGATTTATAGACTCATTTCAATGGGGTTTAGGGTGAGGAGCAGGTTCTTTCAGAGAATTTTGGTTTTATCTGGCTGCACGCATTGTTATAGTAAAGTTAATTGCCTATGTTTGCTTCCTGTGGAAATATTTCACAAGACACCCTGTCAGCACGGTCCTAGCATTTGCACTTGTGTTTTGCTGATCCACTTGGCTTTTTTGAAAATTTGGGCCAAGACCAAATCTTCCATAAAGGTCTGTGGGCTGTAACCATAGCCCTCAGCCATGTGCTGTATTGTTCCAATTTCATAGATTTAGCCTTGCAAAAAGGGAAGAAGGAAAAAAAAGAGAAAAAAAAACCAGAAAAATGGGCCAAGACTTGTTTTTTACTCAGCTCTTTATACTAGGAGTTGAATTTCTATTCTCGGTGGCACCACAGCCCCCACACTGCCACTGACCTGCTGTGCGGTCTCAGGCAA